TGCGAATCCTCGCGCTGGCGAGCATACTGCTGAGAACATAAAGAGCAGTGCTACACCCTTTTTTCACTTGTGCCTTTCAGGTGAACGACAGCCACTGCCCGACAAGAACAAAACCGACCCGGGAAACTTGGGCAAAAGCCTCGATCCTGTGTATCAATCCGTGAATCCGTGATCATGAAAGGGGACTGACCACCGCTTTTAGCACGTATACTAATGGGCCTTCCATCTGGGTAGAAAAATATTACGAGCATTCAGTCTAGAACCTCGATGTTATGGCCTTCGTTTTCCGGGGCAAACATGCCCTTGTAGTCACTGTCCTTCAAGGAGGCGTGAAAACAATATATCTAATACACTTGTGCAAATACTGTGGATGAGCTTTCGATGTTCGAGACAGTGGAGAGTTTAATCACAGGGCAGAAACCATAAGAAGTTTTGTTGCAACGCAATTGGGTGATGGATATGTTGTTGGAAGATTAGAACGCAGATTCGTACTGTGGCCTAGCGCACGGGCCAATCACAGTACAGAAGCTTGACCCACACCACCGACCAGCTACGAGGTCCCATTGGTGGGAACTTTAGTTGGGCGAATGAACCTGGACCAATCGTATGTTCGGATTCTACTCTCAAAGCGTGCGAAAACTGACCTTCCTAGTATATACTCTTCGGATACTCCGTAAGGATGCGTAGTTCGAATCCATGTGCCACATGTCCCACGTTGGCCCTAGCAGCACACGCAGTCCAAAATAACCGAGTTTTCCTGTTACACGACGGTTAACATGTGGTGGTGGTTATTTGCACCAACGTAACCGTCGGATAACCGTGTTTTCCGGTTATTGCTCGGTTAAATAACCGTCAAAAAACCGTGTTTCCCGGTTATTGCTCGGTTAAATAACCGACGTTGATCGCATATAACCGACTAATAACCGAGTCGTGCTGCTAGGGGGTTGAAGCGGGGTGGCGATGCTCTCTAGTGTGGCTTCTGCACAATTTAAGGGTGTGTTGAACGTCCTAAGTTGTCGACGAGTATCCTCCAACATCATAGGAAAATTCCACAGTTCAATTCCTCTGTATGTGTGGTGCCTGCAAAGATCTGAAGAAGCAAAGTCACTACCAGCTGTTGACCGGCAGTAAAGAAATATAGCTGCAGCTGGGTGCCGAAGCACCAAGGCCAAGAGGTTACACTCAGACATGATTATAAGCAAGTCCAGTTCTTGTAAAATTAGTTCCGGAAACCTCCCAAGGGCTATACAGTCAATGTCCGAGTCATCCTTGAGAACGAAGTATTTTAGAATAAGCAAATACGAACTCATAAGCCTTGGGATCCATGGATCCCTTGTCACTTCAGATGCAATGTACTCTGTGGCCACACTCGAGTGTCACAGTGGATTTCATTAAGAAATCAATTCAGTCTTGGTTCAAGGGAGCCTTTGATCAAACCCCTGGAAACCGGAAGCTGCGACGCGAGAGGGCCGCCTTGCAGCGCATCGAAGAAAATCTATGATGGTGTAATGATAGCACTAATACATTTATATTTCTGCACTAATCTTGTTAATTTTTGACTATGCAGCATGTTGTCGTAAGAACGACGCGATTTGTAATTATCTGCGGCGTTCGGTTATAATACGCATGCCATGAGCTGAGGTAATCAGAGCGATAACTCGGGGAGACAGTCAGTTAGCCGACAAATATCCTCGACAAATTCGTGGTTGCAATCATTAGCCTCGTCCGGCCGCAAATCGTTTCAAAAAAGGCCACGAAAAAAGCCAGCGGAAATTTTTTCGAGTTGCTTTCATCCAGGCATCCCGGGTCGGGTTTGCTGTTGCCGTTCAGCGGTTTCCATTCGCCTGAAAGGCATAGGCGAAGAAGGTCTAGCACCCTTCTTTAACTTAGTGTGGGGCAGTAAGCCTGTCACCTCGAGGACTGATATGGAAAAGCATTAACAACCGTCGGAGGGAGATTATTCCCCGCATTAACTACCCGAGATTACAAAATTATTGCCTAATAAAAGTGTGCACAGCCTGAAAATCTTGTTACCAACCCCCACCGTGTATTAGTTGAGTCAACGGCAAAGAACTTGTTGGTCAAAACTTGTTCAACCAAAGCATAAGTAAATACTAGGTCTTCTCGGACGTAGCGATACTAAAAGGGAAGTAGGTCAAGCACCCCGAGACGCATTCCCTAATCAGCGGACTTGAGGCCGGTAGCCATCTTCGTAGAAGCTTGTTAAACTCTCTCAGTGGAGGTTACGTCCTTCTTGCGTCCGGAGTAGTTGATTGGCATATTCACACCGGGGTCCTTACGCCAAATCTTCGGCAGCTTCTGGTCCATTCGACCATGTGCTGTTTTCTTTGGGACAATGGTCCTGTATGCTTCCTCCGCTGAAGCTAGTCAAGGAAGATATGCATTCCTGAGAAGTTTGCATGACAGAAGTTTCGAATCCACGCTTGAGGTTCCAGATTCCCGACCCAGGAGCAGATGCAATCAAAGGTCAAAACACAGTGATCACTATGTCCCAGTGGGGCCTTAATTAACACTTGATCAACAAAGTGTTTTTCGCTGGTGATAACGAAATCCAGCAGGGATGGCCTGCGCGGTATCTGGTGGGTGCGACGACATGAACTGTTTGATTTAATTTCACCTGGCAGTTGACATGCTGCTACATGGGGAAGGCGATGCGAGTTGCTTCTGTGTTGTATGTTGAATTTACTAATAACTAACCTCAGTCCCGATGAACTGAAATCAAACTTCGCCCACCTAGAACTAATTGTTCATAATGCATAAAACGAGGCTCACTAACACTTGTCGTGCAGTCTGCTTTCACGTGCATCTGTACACGATAAACCCGTACTCGATGCTGTTAGAAATAATGACCCCGGTTTTTTCCAAGTGCTTCGCAACAGACAAACTTTGATGGCGAGCATGATTCTCCACTGAATGACCCTCAAAGTCAAAAGTCAGCCATCAAACAACATTCACGAAGATACCAAGCATCTGTCGCGTTATGCCTCGTTCTTAACGTGAGGCTACCTCCACAAGTAAATGAAATACCTGTTGGAACGCACGTGATGATGCTACTGCACGTCTTGAATATTTGGGGCCTTATTCTTGTCGCGGAAAATCGAATTGTTCGGCGCGTTCGTCAACGGATGAAATAGCTCTGTAGTCAGAGCGCGAATTTACTGACCGGTAGGTCCGCGGTTCGGACCGGACCTCTGCCTCTCGACTTCCCCTGTCTGGCAACCTAGCAGCATCTCAGTCCTAGCGCTCACTTCGGGTGGCATGGCAGCCAGGCACCGAAAGGATGCTACCGCTGAATGATTTTTTCGTTTCTCCTTTGGGCAGTGGGAGTCATGCCTGGACCTGCTATTCAGTGCGGTCGATGATATTACACATTACCCGGAGTACCGAGAAGCGATGGCATTCAGTGAACACCTGAAGCTGATGCCGGATACGTGGCCAGCCGGATGCCTTCGGACAGTGGAGACCTTGATACTCAATATTTGATGAACCAAATTTCCTGGTATGATCAGGGCTGTCGAACAGACTTTATAGGATATAGCATGGGGTATTGATGCAACGTGGAGTCTCTTTCAGACAATTTTGATTGTGTCAACGATTTGTCCCAAAGTCATTCACGCCTTGCAACTTTTGAACAAACAGAAGGTCTCAGGGCCTGATGGGTGTCACTCGCTGATACTGCTCCACCTGGTGACCGTTTTGGCCCCAGTGCCTGCTGCTATTTCCACTCGATTAGGCGTTTTTCCGCATGGAATAAAGCCGTCACTTGGCCTTTCCACAGGACTGTTGACAAAATGGCCTAATCGTTGATCGACCAGTCAGTTTGAGCACGGTCACTGGGAAGGCAATGCGTCCAAGCTGTTGCCTTCAGTGCATGGCTTCCCCTCTCAATACCCCCGAGGAAAAGTTCACCGACATCCCGGTATTCACGCATCAATTAAATCAGCTACCGCCTCCTGTGCGTAGCTGTCCATTCCACATCATCTATCTATTCCACAATCATCGCTTGAGGAAACTATGGAATCTATAATCACTCTACGATAAGTAAGCGGTTTTTACGGGTGCAGATGATGGTAATTATGGTGATGACTTCATACAGTTCGCTTGCTGCAGCTGGCCACTAATTTCCTGTGTCCATTTCTTTATATTTGCAGACTTCAATACGGCAGTTCTAGGTCTTGACGTGCACTTCTGCAGGTGTTTTTCATCGAAAACGGAAAACCGCAACCAGCATGAAGCGAAATTTTTGTTTGGTTTGCGTTTTTGCTCTAGCGCTTTTGTCCATTTTTGTGCGCTTGAACACATACCAGCATGGCTTTGACAGTCGATCACATCCACCGCGTGTTGCAGTGTGTTGTGAAACACCCATTTCCGACGCATTTACTAATTTGTTTTGGTTCGTCCAGGCATGTTCCAACATATGTAACTATAACCAAGTTTAGCTTTCCGATATTCATATAAGTGTTTATGACGAGGCCTCTCGTATAGAAGATCTCGAAGCTTTTCTTCGTCGGAATGTCAAGGTGATACGACCCTATCTGCTCTTGATATCTGGTGAGGAACCGTAACCTTTCAAGAACATTACTAATCGTTTACCAGGCGACTTGGTAGACGCGAAATCTAAAGACAAACACTCATCTACGCAGCTGTCAACTGAGTGGGAGATCTATAGCACTATTCTTAGAGAAACCAACGTATTAAATTTCACCCGCCTGTTGGACATTCGCGGAAACCATGGTAGGCAACTTTGTGTTTTTATACTTTCAGATGCTTTCAACGTCCCTAGTGGGAATGCGCAAACTAACTATTTCCGGTAAGTGGTCTTTTGTAAGGGTTTCCTTGTTTGCCTGTTGTCAGAGTCGCTTGCTTACGACTTCCAAGGATTATTTTAACCATAAACAGCTAGTGGAATACCCTTGTCAACCATAACTGTCGAATTGGAATTTGGACAACTTAGAATGTTAGCAAGTCAACTTCAAAACAAATCGTTGAACTTAGACCTTGCCTTGTCAAGCAGCATCAGTGTCAACGCTGATGTTTCACTCTCATGCAGCCACAATGTTTAATTATATTTAAAATCTGATGAAAAACGATGATGGGGAGGGTCCTAGTGTTACCAAAAAATTCTGAGGTGCAGGTGCTCAACCGGACAACCTGGAAAGAAACTGACAGCAAAGATGCCACGAACACTGATTAGCCGCCATTCCTTGCAGTGTCTTTAGTCAGGTGCATGAATGTTGTAGAAACCTCATCCAGGAAGGCTGGCCACACTAAAAACGGCAAAACTGTTCGTAATCTCGTTCTCGCCCTCGTGCCAAGTCACACGTGCATCTCGAATCTTGTGTCACTCCGAAGGAGTTACGGAGCACAGCACTCGTGTCGGTAGACGGTGTTTCGGCGTGCGTAGCGCATGGCCGGTTCACCACAGCTGGTGGTACCGGGTGCTTTCCGCAACTGAAATGTCAACTGCGTAACCAAGTACCCGTTATCTAATTATCTCGTTACACACTCGTCGATGCCATTCAATACCAGCAACGCTTTTGAGGTATTTAGGGCTAAAAACCTGAAGGTCTGGGTCTGTCCGTAGAGACCGTCTCACAACCATGCAGCAGTGTAGCCCTTATTGTAACCTGGTGCACACAGTCCTTAAGACCCAGTGATATGCCTTTTTATGCCACAATTGATGCAAACTGGCAAGCGTGTTTAGGGCCTTTGAGATGCGTGCACTGATTTCATCAAGCACTTCCTTTGGAGCTGATACAACTACTGAGGCGTGCAAAACTTCCGGTGCTTCCTGAATTGCAATGGGAATTCTCAGAGGGTGCACGTTTTGAAGCATAACTTTACACTTTGTAGGTGCAAGGCGCTTGCTGAAAGATGATATGATGGTGTTCATTTTATTCAACAGAGTTTCGTCTTCACATATGAGGACGATGTTCTGTATGTACTCCAGACCGACAAGGTCCTCACATCCTCCAGCAACATCTTGAACACCTTCCAGCGTCCGTCTCATCAGTTTATCAATGACGATATTGAGCAACAACGGAGAGAGTGGACATCTTTGCTGGACATCACTTTTGTGGGAGTCTTTGGTCTATATACTCTTATACACCCCGAAGTATGTGAATATAAGAACCGGATTATTTTCATGAACTTCCGGGACATCAACACTGACACTATCCGTTCGAAAGAATCCAACACACCCTTGAAGTCAAGGAACATCGGGATTGTAGGTTGTCTATAAACACGGCGTCCTAACAATTGATGTAGGGTGAAAATGTGGTCGACGTAGCCTCCAACCCGTAGCAATCTGGCTTGATGCTCACAGGCCAAGGTTTAACCTCAAATGATTGTGACTTTCATGGTTATTTACCCCAAGCAGGAATTCTGTCAGGGCGCTCACCATCAGTTTAATCTTGAGTCAACTACTTCGGGATCGCTCAGAAATGGGTCTTCATTGTGGAATACCTCAAACTTCACCTCGAGAATTAGTCCAGATTGATGGCCCTTTGTTGATCCTATAAACGCCAAGTCTTTCCCGCAACCCTGGTAGTCAATCAAGCAATTCAGTTTACCAGCTATAAACCGTGTATCATAGGGACTTTGATTCCAGCTACTACAACTTCATTCACAGGAAAATGAGGAAGTGTGGGAGGTGATGGCATGTTTCATTAGTTAGGGAACAGGGCGGCTGTTCATTGAAGGCGATAGCTTTGATACACGATTGCCACTGACTGCGCGATTGGGGAACTTTTGCCAGTATCATTAACCAGTAGTAAGTTGAGCCCCGGAGTCCTCATCCAGGGAGGTGGCAGTTGTCGACCCAACTTCGTTTACTGGTTAGTGTTTTCATACTAGTGGCAGTTGTCGACCCGACTTCGTTTACTGGTTAGTGTTTTCATACTTTGTTGCCAGTTTATACACTATCCACCTCTTGATCGCTTTCACTCGCACAGGGCTGAACGAAAAGAGCCCTGCGAGACAGACAGTCTTGTGACGTGCGGAGTACATGTGTAACTTAGGAAGCGTGAGTAATTTATCTATCGCGGGAGACCTCCTTCCTAAAACCATCTGGCGTACCCTAGCATAAAGGCTACTACTCTAATCCTCAAGACATTATGCATCGCATTGCCATAGTGTAAACTCTTCTCTTGACAAACAACCTGATGTGACGTCGGTGCCATAGGTGTCGGAGGTTGGCAAAAGCTGCCCTGGCCTTCCCGAATCGGGGAGAAATCTTATCTCCAGCCAGTTCACTGGAACTTATTCAACTCTCCAGGTAAACAAATTTATCTACCACGTCGATCGGCTCACCTGCAAGCATGATCCCACCCACTCTTGTAGCTGTATTTTACACTTTGCAGGTGTGAAGCGCATAACAAACCGTGCGGTTATTTAAAACCGTTTGTATTTTAGAAGGATATGAACCAAGGAGAGCTATATCGTTCACATACTCAATGTGAGTAAACATCCCGGGAGCATTCCGACCCCCGAGGTTTCAGATGTATGCATAAGAATTTCACAAATCACGTGAATAACAGAGTTGAGGAAAGGTGAGAAAGGGCAGCTTTTTCTACACCACTGGACGTGGTGAACTCAAGCGGAAGCCTGCCGTATACTCGTATGCGCCCACAGGAGGTCGAATACAATGCCCTCATGTTGAATATAACTTTGAGAAGGACACCTTTAATCCCCAGACACCTCCAAAGTTTCTGACCATCGACAGAGTCAGAAGGAGCTTTTAGACAAAGAAAAACAATCAACATGGGACATTTACAGGAGTGGCGTTGTTCAGGACTTTGTCTCGAGGTAAAGATATGATCGATGCATCCTCGACTAGGGTGGAACCCAAGTTGATTCTCACGAATTTGTCTCGATAATCGATCAACCCACGCATAACGTTCTGTCACCTTCTTTGAAGACTGGGATGACTGTCGAGGAGCTCCATTCGACATCTTCCTTCTAAATCCTGTGCAGTATGGATGTCAAACTGCCTACCACGACCCCATTGTCTTCTTTGAAGAGTGCAGGGTACATCCGGGAAAGTTGCCTTGTCACGTTGGATTTCTGTTTTTGATGGCGCGCTAGTGTCGTTTCTCAGTTTAGACCCGCTTGATTCTTCCAGAAGTTGTGTTGAAGGAGACCGGCTGAACTGTTTTTTGAAGCGCTCAGCTCATCGCTCAAGACGATGATTGAGGGAGCGAATTACCGTTCCTTCTTTTTCGCATATTATTTTACTGACACCTGACTTCTCTTGACCGGTTGATCGTATCAGCTGAAATAGGGCGTGATCGTTACCTGCAGCGAAAGCCTTCGAAATCGAGAAAAGTTATCTGTCATTTTTCAAGTGCTGAATATCCGATCTTTGAGGGATCTGCGTCCGCCATCATAGTTGCTAGCTGCTGGTATGGCATCTCTGGCAGCAATAAGATCTGATGATTTCGACGGTACCGTATGTTCACTTCGCCGGGTCAGATGGTTTGGACAAGTAGTTCTGAAAGCTGAGAGCATAGCTTTTTTATAACTTGCTTCCATTCAACCTCCAATCAATCTCAATAGATGCTTGTTGTCCAATTTGACTTAAAGTATGGACATCGAAAGTTTCAGCATGGATTACATCTTTCGGGATTAGTAATTGATTATTTTGGTTAATTTTTCTGGGCAACGGTTTAGACACGGAACGATGGTTAGGGACTGACAGATGGGTTGGTCGTATTGCAGCGTTCAATGGGAATGTGGTGGGTAAACCGTTGACCGAAGAGCTGCAAGGGGAAATTATATTTCCTGGTTGTCCAATCCTAAGAAGGGGTTTAGTTGAGGTATCTCACCCTGAACCTTTGACTCAAAAGTCTTATCCACGAGTCAGTGGGTGGATGTAGTTTTTGTTCGGGGACCCCGCCCCTAGCCTCTGACTTGAAGGTCCAAACCGCGAGGCAGCGGACAGTAGGGCTTTCTTTGGGGACCCTTCCCGTAGCTGATTACAATAATCTGACCTGCTGGGCTGAATGTGATTTACTTAAACCGAGGGTGCAGGTGTAAGGAATTATTATCTCACTCCGAGTGCAGCTGCGTACAGGAGGTTCCCTTTGAGCAGCACCGGACTTTTCGGTCTTGAAATTATTTCTATAATGCACCGGCAGTCACGGTCAATCGTTGGGCGATCGGATTGCGCGGTTTTTAAATCTGTTCTTCGTCAGAGGAAAGCACAATCGTTGCTTCGATAAATATTGATCAGCTGTGAGAAACACCTTACTGCCTTCACACTCCTATCGCAGAGGACAGTACGACTTTCCGAAAAACCATGTAGCACGGTTACTCGTAGTACGAGGCCTCGCAGCTCATAGTCTGACTGTTCCCCTTTTCGCTTCCTGGTAGGATTGAACCCCTAGGAACAGTTCTAACCAGTATATCCCGCAGGATAACTGCAGCACACGAGCCCGTCCACCACGACAAGGAGGTAAATTTAGGTGGGGTAACACCGGTAACATTCACCCTTGCCGACATCAAGAACTGCATGATATTGATATGCTACTCTACAGTAATAATTAAGTGTTGACTTCACGATGGTATTTGCTTGTAGAACTATCAGTTGTACTTGGCACGTTTGTGTAAACAATCTGGCACGTTTTTGTTTACAGACATCTGTTTATCGCTTAGCATGCCATACCGGCCACATATTATCAGCAAAAGAAATGCTCATCAATACAATACAACTGACCAACTTTCTACACCACCAAAGTATTGTCAAAGTAAATGAGCTTATTGGTATTCCGGTTAGGTTTCGCATTTGTCGCAGTAATCGGGCTAAGCATACGCATGTGATGCCATCTAGCTATCACTGTCAAAAAAATAAGGGATCCAGGTCATATGCAGATCCCGAGCACTCCTAGTCTAATGTTCAGATTGCACACTCGCCTTCCAGCTGCAGTCCGACCATGGGGGTATCAGATGATTCAGATCTACTCCTCAGTTTCATCTACAGGATGAGGCGCACAATAGATATGGTGTTTGCAGTTGTTTTCCGAATGCAATTCATCTACCTGAAGTCTGCTTTATAACTAAGTGTACTTGTTTCAACAACCAGTTGCTTAAAGTCGCAACTGTTATCTGTCCTGTAGGTTAGTGGTTTTTATCGGTAAGTGTTCTCACCGCAGCATGTTGAACCATTGCTCATGTACGAGTCTCTAAGTCTGGCGTTGACTCCTCGTTTTTTGGCAGAACACATGGGGTGCAAGGTCACCGACTCTCGAACTCGTATTCATTCAACCTTGGACTACCCTTTGGAAAGTATTCATTCATTGCGCTCGATGCATGTCCTGATCCTGGACTGATGAGACCGCTGAATTTTTTCGGCCACATTGCCCCGGTATGTTTTTCGGCTTGCTTGTGCCCAATTTTGGATATTGGCAGTGTTATGTCCCTCAAATTTTGCTAGAAGTCTAAAAATTGAGAGTGTTGATGCGTATCGTGGTGTTTAAATTGGATGGAGCTTATGTTTGGAAATATAAATTCGATTTGTGTGCTTTTGAGCTGTTCCTGATTTGTTTGTATGTACTTAGGAGACGGAAGAAGACATCCGGGAATATGTCAAGACCACTCAATCCAGCAATCTGACTTTTTGGTTCGGCCATTATCCTACGTCGACCATCGTGTCTCCTTTTGCACTGCGTTCCATAATTGGGTAAGCATTGTCGTTTTTCCCCATGATGGTAGGTTCTTCGTTCATTGTCATGCATTATTTCTGGCACTAATGCCATGTATGGCGTTGGTCCTTTCGTCTTCGCGTGTCGGTCGAATGTAAAATAGTTTGTGACAGATTTTCGTGACTGTGTTAGCCTACGAGTTGTTTGATTTCTTTTCGAGCACTAGACTTGTGAAAACATGACTCTCTGTAGTTTTTACCCTCCAGTTTGTGACCTTTGGATCGTCGGTACTTTTATTGACGTGACACACTGCCCACAAAGATGCTCCGGTAGCCCACTACGGGTTTCGTCTTTCGTGGGTCTGATCAGGTAATCGTAGTCCGAGTTTTTATCGGCCTTATGTTTTATCTGAACACCCAATTGTATGCGATTGATGAAATGCACTCATTTGCGATTAACTTTTGTTGACGAGTGACTAGACTGAATCTCTCATTCGGGGCACCCTCCAACTGAATGTGCTGCACAAGTGCCACCTCATGTTTCAGATGACACGATATCCTTGATATCGCAATGTTTTTTTCAGATAACACTATTCTACTTGCTGCTGAAAACTCATAAACAAGAAATCTCCTTGAATCCCCCGCTAAAAGCAATTTTAATTGCAACTGAGTTTCTCTTCTGTGCACTTTTTCGCGGCCCCGTGTGAGTGGAAGCGACCGCGATTGACAGTCTATTATACGTTGACGAAGTACGAGAATACTAGCCATTAATCTAAGTATGGTCGACAACTTTTTCTTCCCTCGATGGGGACCCCGGGCATTGACTTATCAATGACTGGTGACACTGGCGAACCTGGACCAACTACTTAATCATTGGTGCCTTCGCATCAAAGATATCTCCGATGCGTAGCTGCCAGTTTCCTGAACTAACTGATCATGCTATGGCCATCAATGCTTGGTTATATCTCCTATGCCCTCCCATTTTCCGCCCACCAAAACTGTAGCAACTGGAATCAAAGCACCTTTGATTGGTGATTTGTAGCTGGAAAACTGACCCATTGACCGCGCTTTATACGCTTAGTCAATTAAATGAAATTCGTTTTAGCCATGCTTGATATTGATCAACACCGTCATTCTTTTTCAAATGTAATTTTTCTACTGATTACGGTAAGCATGTTTGGTTTTCTCTAATCCATCAGCTCTTCTGCATATGCGTACTTCTGTGGTCACCTGCACACCCTCCTGGGATGGGTCCCGAAGATGTACGGCTTACAACCACAAGGATTCCTGGAATTGGAGCTCGGTGATTGGCGGGATAATCGCTAGTAAGTAACCATCTTTGATCCTTGCATCGTGCAGAGATTCGACACGGATTGTAGTGGCACTAGGTCATTTTGTGACTGAGTTGCCTGAGGTTATGGGTAATTTCCTCACAGCGACGTATCGGATTCCAAAACACGCGGCTCCAGTGAATTTATAACCGTAAAGCGGAAGCCGAAGTGGTATGTTTAGTGTGTGGTCGTAACACTTCCACGCAGTCCAGAACGAGGATGGAGGATGGACCTTCCCTTGATGCTCAGCACAGAAAAGTATTCTGCGTTCTTAAAAGTTGTTTCCTTATTAGTATTAGGGAAAACATAATGTTTAAGCTGGGGTATAACTGGGGAGTTGTGAATCGTCAGCCTGGGGATTGGAGATAATTGTTTTATTTCAGAGCCACTAATTCTAAAAGCATTACTCCTTTAATAGTAGAGACGATTTCTGTGGCATGAAATTCCCCCTGAGGAAACTGTCAACCAGGAATCACATTCAAGTTCTGCCAGTGGCTGTTTCAGCCCATCCTTACCGACGAAAAAACGAACCAGACTCGATCAGAATTTACTTGGAACTCCTTCACTCCATCAAAGCAAGATTTTGTCAACCACACTGATCGACAAGGGCCGTTAATTGACACTGAACACTGATCTAGTGTGATAATCTGAAGAGGACTGATGATGACAGTTTGGTTCCCCGTCTGTCTTATAACCTGACCAATTTGGTGACCTGCTCAATTGGCCTGATGAAGCTTTTGTGTCAAAGGCGAAACGTTGCCCAAATAAAAGACTACCGATCGTTTACCAAGCTCTTCTGAAACGAATTCCGATGAGGTTCACCACTGATCAAATATTTACTGTTAACACCTGTTACCGCCAACACTGTTGCTAAAACTATCCGTGATCGTGAGTGAGCTTGGTCGATAGCCAATACGTAACTGTGCCTTTGGTAGCATGTCGGAGCATGGGGCTGAAGGAGAATATGAAAACCTGTCCGATCCTTCCTCTTAAAGTATGTTTTGAGTTTTTTTGAGTTTTTATTCGAGCTTGGTTAGTTATCAGAAATACAAGTTCTCCACATAGATTATGACTATGCAGACTATATTCTGACTATACACCATTAGTCAGGTGATTTTATGAGTGTACAACTAGTTGAGCGCAAAACTCTAGGATTGAAATGCCTCAGCTGTGTAAACTGGTCGGCTGACACACGGTCTTATGGGGAACGTCCTACATGATAGGGACGGAGGCATTCATGTTACTTTTTGAGATTCAGTCACATATCGGACGCAGCACCTCATCAAAATTCAAGCTCATGACTTGTTAGTTATCAGATTTTCCGCGAGGATTGACTACTAGTCAGATGGCATTGTGCGTATGCGCCAATAGCCGTGTGATTTAAATAATGATCTCGTCTGCCTGTGCCGAAAAGTCAGATGACTGTCCGAATCGGTCAGCAGTCAGTTAAACACAGAAGTTTGACGATTGAGTTTAGACGATTTGGAGTTCACGTCATTCGCTGATTCCCATTCTATGAACGATTATCCATAATTAAGGATCTGAAAAAAGTTGACATGAAGTGAAGATATGGCCGGGGAACGTTCGAAACTTTTAGCTGCGTCAGATTCGGCATTCAGAGAGCTGGATATTGTGTCGCCGATGCGTACCGCTTTTGATCTTACTTTCATGAAGGTATCAACCTGTGTGAGCTCATGGCTAGTCCCGGTCAAAAGACTTAGACCCGTCCAACAGGACCGCGCCAGTTTCACCGAGCGCGTTCAAATGAGGAAACCACAAGTTTTAGCATGTCTCCGGTGAACTACGCACTGGCGACAGCTGAGGAGTTCACGGCGTTCGGTGTTTAACAGCAACTACCTGGTTGCGGTATGCTCCGTTTCCTTTGATTCAGTTGATTCATCTCTCTTAGGAATCGGAAGATCGTGGGGCTCTTTCTATGTAGAAGAAATCCCGAAATTGCAGAGGAACAACGGAATGTTCGGGAACGATAGGTACTATGTCGGGTGCATACTATTCACATAAAATTAAAGATACGCCTTCTGGCCTTGGAGGTTTGAGTATACTAAGAGAGCCTGATCCATTTTCCCAACCGTAAGTCTTCGTGAGCAAGCAGCAGGAGTTGGCTGAAGTAAATGAGAGTGATTAATAAAGGAGTTTGCTAGAAACAGTTCATGCGGTTTCCACTCAGGTGAGACCCAGCGTCAGTGTGAGGGTTGGACGTGACAAAAGTGTGAGACTGCAAAACGGGCAGGTTTTCTTTCGGTTTTCGGTTTTTTACGTTAGGCTTGGCTCTACCCACAAGCATTACCAGCTTTCTGTGCGACAAGGAAGTGGGAACGGGAAGATGAGGAAGGGCAGTAGGGCCAATTATCTAACAAGCGTCTCTTCGCCCCTTGGGGGACATGTCTAATTAACTCATCCATGGGGCGAAATGGCTCAACTGGTTAGAACACGAATTTACTGACCGGAAGGTCCGTGGTTCGAACCCGACCTCTGCCTCTCGACTTCCCCTGTCTAGGCTTGTGCAACCTGGCATTATCTCAGCCCTCGTGCTTCCTTCGGGTGGCATGGCGGAAGGGTGTTATAGCTGGACGATTTTTTAACTCATCCATAAAACAACACTACGGGCTTTGAAACATTGAGAGATAAAAAATACGGTCGGATTATCTGGAAGTGTTGACGCTTCGTTCGAAACCACAGCACTACAAGTACAAACAGAAATCTTTTCATGCCTGTCGTCCGTGTTTTTTTTTCACGATGAATTCCATCTGCGTTCGATGGGAACCGAAAGCTTTGGAATTGATTATAAATTAACAAGCTCAAAAGACGGAAGATCCCATTGCCTAAAATAAAAATGAAGCATTGTCACGTAGGAATGATAAATGCAAAGATAATCCTGCACTAAGTTAGCAGAACATGTGAAGCCATTAAACCATTCAAAAGCAGTCAGCTCTGTTCATTACCTTCGCTCGTTTGCACTCGGCTCACCCCGACACCTTACGTCAAGGATCGGGACTATCCTGTTTCCTAACACTCCGGAGGGTCAAGAAAACCGAATTCCCTTTGGAGAAAACAACTTTGGTTTCCGGATCGTTCTCGCTGAAGGGCGATCACCCAGCATTATTTTCTGTGTGCGCCCTCAATCACTTATTCTATGCGCCATATTCATTAATTCGCCATTCTCTGCATCTTTCCTACGTCTCCATCTGGTGCCTAGAGCTTGGATATGGTCAGTGGTAAACATTTACCTGCATCAGACAAAGAAACATTTCCCCAGCTATCTCGCTCGGTTTCCAAGTCTCTGTCATGGTCAACGAAGCACTTGTCCACAAGCCAGGATTTTTCGTGCATTAGCATATCAGCAAACCAACGAAAATAAACGGAGACTAGGTGGTGAATCTATGTCGCAAGCGGCATCTACGCTGAACCTTTTAAGCAGTCTGTGCACTGCTTATGCCAACAACTGCAGACACACATGACAGTCCCTCCTTATGATGACCATCTCCCAACACACTCCTGTGGCTCTGCACTGCACAGCCTCCAAACAGCGGCCACCTCTTCAATACAACTGTATTCGCTTGGCTTTTTGCAGATTACGGTGAAGAACTAGTACTCTACTCGTACGGATCCCTACAGTCTCGATCTTTCAGCATGGCGTTAGTAGTAGCTTACGCAGCATTAGGATACAGTTCCCCACCAGGGGAACACACTTGAAATAAGTCAGAATCATTTTCTTGGCGGTGCTTTCTCCTGACGATGAGGCTAGGGCTCCAATGATGTAATGGCACACACTACTGATAAAACATTTGAGCAGTGCCTGGCCAGGTGTCAAAGCGCCGTCCGCGCATTTGACGAAAGGTTGGTACTGAAAATATGAAAAACGCTGTGGAGCGCTCGTTCTATTGTTCACTATTCACAGGACATTTTGGAAAGTACAAGAGGACACTTGAGAGTGTCCACTTCACCAAGGGAAAAACGCTCTTCAGTGTGGAGTTGCTTACTGACTAACACGAACTAATCAGTCACAAACTGTTAGACACGAAAGTAAAATATTCTTTGCCTAGAGCATTTGGAAAGTGAACAATTTCAAGTGTCCTTTTGAACATTGATGAATTGAATATCAAACAATAATGAACAAGCACTACAAAACGGTTACACTGATTGTGTACTCTCGCCATTCAGTTATGCACGATGAAATGGTCTTCAGATTCTAGTGTTTGCCATGTGTGAACTGTTTTGGGTAACATTCATAAGTTCCTTTCCGTCTATGGTACTGGAATTTTAAATGAAAGGAACCATTTCATTGATCGGTGCTGAACAGAGAACAATATCCGAAGAGGTCTCAATGTCGCAGTAGCTTGTATAGCTATTCGGTTACAAAATATCAAATCGGTAGTTTGATAGAGGCGCTTCTGAGGAAAATTTGCCGTGCGCAATACACGGTCCGAGTAAATGAACCCAAACCAGTGCAACATGCTGGCGTTTTACACGTTTTTGATTATTACTGCCCAAAGACTGTCTTCAGTTGCATCGTCCTCTAAATGTTGCCTTGCTACCTGTCCTGGCAATGAAAAACCTACGGCCTGTGGTAAATCCGGGACCGACAAGAACTCAATATCGTCATTGTATCGAGATTAGCCACCTAAGGACTGAATATCAACGTCAGAGTCGAACAATTTCCCTACCGGTATACGTTGATACATGTTTTATGGTGTTGTACATGTGTATGAATCTGGTATTCGAGTAGTGGGAGGATATGGTGTGAAAGTAATTGACTTTCAAAATAATTGTCAAGCTCGGCAAATGCCACCTCATCAATTCTAAACACTGCTCTATTTATTGATGGTTTTCCGCATCCTTACCCTAACGCAAGTTATATGACGTAAACCTCACTTCTTAAGCATGAACTAGTGTATATAGTGCACTGAATTCCAGTCTTACTGGGTCAACCACATTGCTTGTAGAACATCTACGCGGCACAACAAATCCTCATGAACCTTGTTTTCTGTGTGATTGATTACAGAGTAGAACAAAGCTTGCCTTTTAGACGGAGTCTAACCGTTTGGTCCACTCTTCAGCGTACCCACAGCTATAGTACACTCTTTGAATTGATTCCATTTTTGGGGACCCATATCTGTCAGTTGAGACAAACAGCGAAGCGGACATCTATAACTTGCTGTTGCACCGGGTGAATGTTATGTTATATGTTTTTAGGAAATTGTTGCAGTCATATTATTTTTGTGAATATAAGGACCACAGGCATGTTCGTTGATACCATGTATGTATTCTCATTTTTCGTCCATCGTAAGTACTCCCCTTGAATTCACACTTTAATGATATTCCAACTGGATTTGTAGAGCAATGTGTTGGATGCTTATGGATGCTTGTTGCACAAAGTATATCGTAGCGTCGCCACTGACGCTGAATACTGTACTGAGGTGGGGGTCAAGGAGTGCACTCTGTATGTGCGACCACTTAGTTTCAACTACCTTCAGTGGTCAGGCTTAGCAATACCAAATCCAACGCCCATAGAAGCCCGGTTCGGTTCTTTTTGTGTAGTGATGTGTTGTATTGATACCGTCAGTCAGAACACTGCACCGATTCTTTTGAAAACTTGCGGGTATACACCCATCGTTAAATTAGCAAGCACTTGTTAGGACTAATGCAGTGCTCCAAGCACGGTAATAGTCTTTAGGGCACGTGTCGCAAAAAGTGGGTATGTATATATGGAACTGTGGCAAGTTGATGTGGGATTTCTAAAGAACTAAAACAATAGATTACTCGCCTATTTCATTCACAATTGAATCAGAACTGTCGTAGTAACTATCTTACCTGGATAAGTCCCAATGGTATTCAACACTATCATCTCACCGGCCTGTTTAGCTATCGGATCGTTGCTGTAGACCACGACCTGGTCTCGTTCATCGACGTACGATTCTCCCCCAGTATATCCAGTGCGGAGTGGCCAGTCATCTTGGTGACTAATCCAAAACACGCTAACTTTCTGCTCCCTCACAAGGAACCTTTCTACCGAATTGAACAATCAGACCATATTCGGTAAGCTCATGCTTGTTGGTATTCACATCGACCTCTTGTTAAAGAACTGATGGTAGTTGAGAATTGACCTCTCTATGCCTCTTGGATTTGCAATAACAGACGCAGAATTTACGTGATGGTCCTGTTTTACACCGGTAAATGGCCCTCTTTCAATCACATCCAGTGAGTCCCTTTTAGAGCCCACTCTTCCTGCAAGAGGACTAGTTCTCGAGAAATACACTCATTTGCAAAACAATTTGGTTTTCGCGAGAGACTCAACTGAATCTCTCATTTATGATATTCTGCGGATATTCAGTTGAGTCTCTCCTGAAAACCAAATTGATTTGCAAATGAGCGTGTTTCTCGAAAACAGTCCAATTTGGGTTCAAGCAGAACATAAGGTTGACGGAAACTCGGGGACTGCGCCTACCTGATGAGCCCCAAAAAGGGCGAAATCGATCGTGGACTGTCGAAGAGTTTTCAGCAACCTTGTGAGTAGTTTTCTTTTTGAAAGAGGACTGGTTCTGTTCGTCCGGATTTCTTCATTTGTGCATCTCTTCAAAGAGCACTCGACCAAATATCAGCTTATGTAAATTGTTTATTGTGGATTGTACTCATCTCCTTAGGTGCAAGCTAATTCAAGTGGACCCGGAAATGAGTCTTTAACATTCTTCGTATTTTCTTGAGATCTAACCTGGCGAGATGAATACAGTTGAAAAACTTACCATTTTGATGTTAACCTACTATATCATTTTACTAGTCAGATGTAGTCTTTGACCGTAAAAGCACAACCGGATACCGGAATGTTTCCTTGACGCATTGCAGTCCCCTGCACCGGCTTAATGAGATGTTTGCTGTATCCTGAGGTTTGAAGCAAAATTTTGGGTGTCTGTAGAAAAGCCTCCACTTCGTCTTCAGTGAGTTCTCCATATGTTCAGATCTCTGAAATTATCTGATGCTGCTGTCACTACGAACAAGTAATTTCTTCTCACCTGGCACTTGCGAAATGTAGGTATATCGGGTGCTCGGTTGTTGGTCTGTTCGCTGAGCTTTTCAGCTGAATTATAAACGTTTCACCACCAATCGAGGTGACATCATCAGTGCGGGGTTGAGTTGAGCTTTTCACCTAGCTAACCTCTGACAAGATTCATTTAGACAAGATAATGTGTCACAAATTTAAGATGAGAACAACGTAACTTATTATCAACGTAATAGATATTGGGTGAATGTGCACTGCTCCGTTCAGTATTCCATCCGCCAAGTTCAATCTGTATCGAAACTCTGACATGTTCCAACATACAACCATGCACGTATCCATTCACGATCCTGGCTCCAACCAAGAGGACCCACTGATATGATGAAGTTATATATCGGCAGTGCTTGTAACCCCAGCTGTTCAACTTGGCATTCGACCGCTAAACCCGCGTCAATGACAAGAACAGTCCTTGGTAGGTTTACTTCCCAAAGAAGTAGAAGTTGTTTTCTTTCGTTTTAAGGGTTTGTTTTATTGAAGCAGGGAAAATGTCTTCATCCCACCATTGTCTTCCTGGAGGCTTCCTGATGGGGAGAAGTTACTCAGGATATCTGCTTGTTTGGTCATCATCACCTTGAGTGCGACACATTCTTTCCACTCTAGTTAAGTGCCTGAGCTCGAGATTGGTCAGCAGTTAAGCCGACTGGGAAATCTATGATTCGAACGCGACCCTAGCTTTCCGATCGCTTGTGTCTGGGATTGGGTAAGTTGCCAGTATCTCAGCCCCCACGCTTCCTTCGATGTGGACGGCAGCTATGCACCAAAAGTATGCCACGACTGAATGATTATCACTTGTTTTTAGGGATACATATGATGTACACATAGGGATATATATGGATGATATATATACATATGTCGTACAACCGTCGCATACTTTCTTGTACAAGAGTGGATGATGTTGGAATTCCTAGCCTATAGTACATTACTGTGGTTCCCTCGGGTTGTGCTTCGAATCTGGGAAACTTGTCGGTTGTCTGGAATCATCCATCGTTTTTTCGTAAATTATGACCAACAGATATTGCGCAAATGTGCGCGAATGCTAGATATTCGCGCACGGAGTTATTCACAGACGCAGTTAATTTGATAGATGGGTGATTATTGAGGACAAAAAGCATTAGTATACTATCACAACTGATTTATCCACAAAAAATCGTTTGGAAGACTCGTAATTCGAGTGGTTTATTGCATATAGCTCTCTTACTGGTAAAAGTGCAAGTCGTAGCAGTGCAATGTGGTGTCAGATTGATGAAAATTCAACGAATCGCTTACATCTGGTAAGGCAACAATAATGGTGTCTAAATTTCATATTTTGCTTAGCATTCCATTGTCATACACTTGGATAAGCATTAAGAAACTAGCCTATGGTAAGCGGGATTCCTCTTCGTTGTCTTCTAAAGTTGGGATCACCGATTCATGAGTTTTCCATGGATAAATTCTTTTACTTTCTGGCGCTAAATGATCCTCAAATTTAAATTCGAATGCTTGTTATCCTAGTGTGGGATGACATCCTGTAAAGTAATGCACCCTGTGAGAGGTCTACCTCAAGGAATCGACCGGATGTTGTCTCCTGTCACAGCCAGTCTCATGTACGAAGGGAGAACCGAAAAGGGAAAGTATTTCACATTAGAAAGTGCATTACTGCATTGTGTGGCACATTTCTTTTTGTGTTTCGCAGTTTATACTACACACAGTACATGAGACCATGTTTCCACCTAAGTGGTCGCATTGGTGTGCATTCGCCAGGATTATTTTATTTGGTGCGGATTCATTTACTCCTTCAGGCTGATCCGGTTTTTACCAAGTGAAGGTATTTCGGTGCATCCAGAGAGAACCAAGCTTGATGTAAATTAGTCACAGAGAATGTCGATCTTACGTTCTTGTAACCAGGCCTGGTAACACGGAGTCGTTGCCCCCTACGCAGACAGCTGCTCGTTCTTCCACACATTTCCCTAGGAGGTTAAGTATCTGTTTAATACATCTGTAAAACCAGAGGCTCAACCTACCAACTACGGCTTTATTCACCACTGGTATATATACAAGTTCACGCAGTACCTCGTGTTCTCTGTTCGGTATGTGAAGGTCAGTCCAGTTGATTGCTTCCAAACAACAAGTTATTCAGATGCTTTCAGAGCTTGTGTATCATACATGCATCGATTGGAACATGTTTTTTTTAAACAGCGCGGATTTAAGCTTGCTTTTTACTCGACGTCTGAACCATCCAAAGGTGGCGCTTATCAGGAATATTACAACGGAGTCTATGATAGTGAAAACCTAACAACAAGACTTGAGCAATGCTTTCGCGCCCAGGCTATGACTAAGCACAGCAGCTGTCAGTTGAAAGGGTGCTGCTACTCTATTCCCCATATTGATGCCGGTGGTGACCAGAACAGTTAAAGTGATGGATCAACCTCTATCAGGCATAACAGCATTGCGTGTTTCGCATAGTTGTATCTATCTACGACCATAATCCGTAGATCAGTCCATAATATGTCCACCATGTACATAAACATTTATGGTCGTTCTCAGTTTATCCTTCTGTATGTTTGACACTTTTCCGACGAAGGTGGGTGATCGAAACGTCAGTTAAAGAGCATCATTAACTCACCTTTTTCAAGACTTCCACTGCGATACGGTCATCTTCAAAGTCTGAAAGGCCCATCGGCACTGGTCATATACGGCAAACGGCAGTCTTATCAGCAGTGTACCGCCCATTTTTTTCATTTCGCATTAGTCGGAGCGGTTATTTCTCCCTCCAACCCTTAAAAGTCATTCATACAAATTCGAGAGAGTTCACTGGATCAGGTGCGAAACCGACAGGTCCGTGTTTCGAACCCAACTCTGGCTTTTTGATGGACTTTTCCTGAAAGTGGCAGTACCCCAGTTCTCGTGCTTCCTTCAAGTACCGTGCTAGCTAAGCGCTGAAAAGGTGCCACAGCTGGACGATTGCTTTTTAATTTTTCTGTTGTGTATGTTCTCTAATGTCTCAGCCTTCATTTGACTCACACTGAAATGTTGTTCAAGAAATTTTGTGCCATTCTCGTTCACATTCGTCGCACCGTTGAGTTCGTTCATTCGGCGATAGGAACTGCGTTCGACTACCTTTCCTATAGTAATGGTTATGGGTTATGCGGCCAACAAGTTGTTGGTAGCCGATGGTAATGTTGCAATAACTCGAAAAAAATCTAATTCTTCGACCTACTGAAAAGCAAAGCATTGGAAACAATACATTGCATCCATATCAGTTAGGCTCAAAGGAAGACAGTGGGCTATTTTAATTGCAGTTGCAACGAAAGATCAAAGATTAAAACTGCTCTAGCATCGGACTCCTCCCACTAAGCACGGATGCAAACCAGCTCTCAACCAAGTCCAACGGTCCTCATTAGTTTGCAAGTTGTTCGATCTAGCAGAACAGTCAGTTGTTCTGGAATCCACTTTCGCATCAAATTCTCCCGGTTTCTTAATGGTCAAGGTCAGTTATCTATAATAATAGCATTAGGTTACCTAACAACCTTCTGTACGTGATATACCCTATATTGATGTGCCTTACACCCAAGAGTGGTTATCTCTGGGAAAGCGGTTACTTAGCCCCTCCATTTGGTAGACTGCTCCGGCAGAATTAAAAGCTGGACCGCAGCTTCACGAGGAGTGCTGTTTTAGTCACCAGCAACGTGGTCCTTCAGTGAGATCCATAGCAGAATGTCATTTGGAATGACTAATTTCTGCATATATACTTAGCTGGTTCTGGGTATGTTGTACCTTGTTTGACATCCCTTAAGGTGGAGAAGTTCATCCGGTCCTATGACGAGCGCTCTTGGGAAGGAACATTAAATATCCCGATGACGAGCCTGCTTAACTCTGAACGAGTTTACAAACCTAGGTCCACAACTCATAAGATTCAAATCTTTTTTAATTGTTTGGTTGTTGGTCTGTTCGCCGAGCTTGGCAGTTGGGTTGCAAACGTTTCATCAATACTCGAGGTGATGATGATGATGATGATGAAACGTTTGCAATCCAACTGCCAAGCTCGGCGAACAGACCAACAACCAAACAGCGCACCCGAGCTACCTACATTCCACAGCATTGCTTTTTAATTGTCTTCCCCTTTCCCCTGTTTCTCAGGATCCTAGTCTGGTCACCGTATTCGGTCGAATACGTGTCTGTTAGCATCGATGGTGTCAAAATTGGAAATGCAACACGTGCACGGATTCCTCCTAATGCGACAGTTCCCGATCTAAGTCCTCCTATTCCATTGTTCGTTTTGCCTTGGAATCCAGCAATTTGGTTAACGGGCTCGGCTCACACGATTCAAGTAGTAGCACAGGTCAGTTTACATTAGTGTATGACACTGCGCTATTATCCAATCCATGTAGCTCGTGCAACGACACTCTGTCTTTGAGAAAGGTACCATTCTGCTTGGGGGGGGGGCGAGATAGCCCAAGTTGTTAGAGCGCGAATTTACTGACCGGAAGGTCCGTGGTTCGAATCCGATCTCCGCTTGTCTAGGCTTGGGTAACCTGGCAGTATCCCAGCCCTCGTGCTTCCTTCGGGTGGCATGGCAGCTAGGCATCGGAAGGGTGCTACGGCTGAACGGATTCTGCGTCGTTACTTGCAATTTATGATTGAGGTTATTGGTTTACTCTGTTTGTTACGCACTTTAAAGAGTTACGTTTTTAACGTAAAAAAGCAGCCGGAGTCGTATTGTCCGGTGATGCATCACCATCAGACTTTGCTTTCAGCTTACTGTGATACTGTACTCTCAGTCGGTACTGACTACGCTGCTCTGAAATTCTTTCTCTTCTTTCATCCCTTATCGTTCTTCCTTTTTTCTTTGTGTTCTTCAGGATGTGAACGGAAATCGTCGCGAAATCACTCAACCATTTTTAGTGAGTGGAACACCACCTTGGAATTTCCCTTTCATTCCAAGTTTGTTTGTTACCAGCGATCATACGTTCAACGTGAGTTGCTTCCGTCAACCCATCTTTGTCGTGGTCTGAAGTGAGTAAATTGACACTATATGTCTACTTATATTCACGCTAAATTTTCCCTCGCCTTCCTACAGATCCGAACTCTCTTCTATGTCCTGTGGTCGTATTTATTTGGCCTTATCGTGATTCCAAGACTATTCTCGCAATATCTGCATCGTACGTTTCCCGTTGACTGTTCTTTTCTGTGTCAGGTTTATACCACCAAATCATTCCAAGACTGTTCGACGATAGCTGCGACAAACAGTATTGGATTACAGGAACTGACCCTTTGATACCGGATCTTACTCTGCGTGGGTTTTGTACCTTAGACCCAGAAGATTTCACGTATAGCCGCACGCCACCTGGTGTCATCTCGGCTTATCTAGGAACGCTACCCACACGTTTGCCGATTCTACGCCCTCTAACCTATTCACAAAAGGATATCTGCTGATTTCCACCGCCTATCTATTTCTGAGACGATCCAGTACCCAGTCTCAGCCTTGGCCGATAGGTTGCCAATAGCTGTTGCTGGATTTCGACCTCACACTAGAGCACATAATTTGTCATATTCGCACGATATCTTCTGGATGATGACTGTAACATTTGAGTAGGCTTTTAAAGGTCAATTTATTTCAAACAAACGAAGAGCATTCTTCCACAAAACACTTGGGCCAGTTTTCAATAACACTGCCAAATGGTTGAAGTCTGGCAGTTATATTTAATGGTCGGTCAGTCATTTTAGGTTTATCAACCATACACCATGTACCAGTTTCGGTCACCGGAAAATGCGAGAGGAAAGGAGATAGCCAAACATTGGAAAAGATGGTATAATCATGTAGTTTTGGAAACTAGGAAGCTACGTATTGAAGACGATAGCCCCCCTAAACGAGCGCCACTGACTGACGAAGCCATATCTGCCAGGGTCATTAGCCATTAATGAGTTGAGTCCCGGGGTCCCCATTCAGGGAGGCAGTAGTTGTCGACCTGACTCCGTTTACTGGTTAGTGTTTTCATTCTCCGTTGCCAGGTCCTACACTGTCCACCTCTCGGCTCTTCCGCCCAGCACAGGACTGGACGGAAAGAGCTCTTCGAGGTTAATAGTCCTTTGGCATTCTGAGTACTTGTCTCAGCCGGCATTACCTATGAAGCGTGTGTAACTCATTCATGGTGGGAGAGTTCATTGATCCTAAAATTACCTGGTGTACCTCAGTGTTGCTAATCTGACCTTCCCACCAGACCCGACAAATGCTTCGGAGATACCGATGGTCAAGCACCAACAGCTTCCGTGCGCCCCCCCGCGCGTAAACCTGTTTCTGATCCATAAAGTAGTATGGATCGCACTGCCGTAGCGCAAATTCTCCTTGACAGATAAACCAACGTCACCCTGGCGCCACAGATTTCGGAGGATGGCAAAAGCTGCCATCGGCTTGGCCGCTTCGTGTGTATATTCCCGTCTCCATCCAGTCCACCGGAACTTACACAACTGCCCTGGTAAAATAATTCACTTACCACACCGATTGGCTGTTCTGCAGGCATGAGATTTTGGTTTGATCCCGCAAGCAACCTTATGAGTGTGTTACGTTTAGACAAGGTTTCGTTTATAATTATGCATGACTCTAGAATGACGCAGCCTGTGCAAAGGGTTGTCTTTTCGCACTCTGTGTATCCGGCTGCTTAGGTTAGGGTTTCAGAAACTCGGCTATAGTCCAAGTTTTTGTTCCAGCCAGCCGTGTGCTGAGTGAAAGCACGTCGATGTCGATTACGTTCAGAGTGCCTATATGAGTCTGCGAGCGTTTATCTTATATGGTAATAGCAGTATTGTCTCCAAGGCTGGAGAACTCAGCATCAGTCAGATTAACTTCCGGAACATTGTTCAGTAGGACTCAGCCAAAGCTGTAATTACCATCCTGGTTTCTGACAGTCACCACTGCTTTTTATATTCATCCTTTTCATGTTCTCAAGTTCATTGCAAGATATGTGTTTGCTGACTCGAATCCAGTTTGCTTGTTTGTCTTATGTGCGTCAAACTCATGGTTCCAGCGAGATGGCCCAAGTAGGTAGAGAGCGAATTTACTGACCGGAAGGTCCGTGGTTCGAATTCAACCTCCGCCTCTCGACTTTCCCTGTCCAGGCTTGAGCAAACTGGCAGTATCCCAGCCCCCGTGCAACCTTCGGGTGGCATGGCAGTTAGGCACCGGAAGGGCGTTACAGCTGAACGATTTTTTTTTCATGGTTGCGGTTGTGCTGATGGAACGAAACTTTCACGGATGCGACAAGCGCATCATTTCTGGTTTCTTTCACCTCACAGACTCCAGTCGTAGACAGATTTGGTTATGCTTGTTAGCACATAATGTTTATGGTTTATCCATTGATAGTTATTTTTCTTTTTTCGTGAGTAGGCTGATCACCTTGTATTGCATATCAAATACGTTGGTGGTATATCAATGTTGCATACTCGTATGTGTAGTCCATCTGATGTAAAGACGCTCGCTATGCGAACATCTTGCAAAAGAAACGGTTCAGTGTCTTGTTACTTCGTCAAGATAGTGTTGGTCACGTGTACTGCTAGAATCCGCGGTTGTTTCTTTGCTTCGATACGCTGTGTACTCTCTCTGTGGAAGACAACTTAGATCAGAGTCAAAGCGATTCTGGTGGTATTCTTAAGTTATCCTCAAAAATACATCAATTTCGAACTTGATAATTCTCTTCAGTGGACTACTTTTGTCCACTCCCTTTAAAAATATTCTACAAGGTAGAACGCCCGTACATGCAACCTTCGTTTCCTGCTCTCATTAGAGTTTCGCGTCGGAGGCTTGACCTGTTCTAGTAAACTACACTGGTTGACATGTTCGCGTACCCAAGCTTCGTCTATCCCTATTGCGTCGCAATTTCGTTCATCCTATCGGCTCCTATTTCAGTGTGGTTACATCAGATTCTTACAAATCGGCACCAACCCAAAGACGTTCAAATCTACACATTCAACAGTGTACGTTCATGTTCTGTGGAAAATCGGAGCGGGTTCCACATTGTTCATGAATTCACCTAGACATGCCACTTTTTGATCGTTTTCAGTTTGAACAGTTAATGCATCCCCTCTCTGGCTATGCTTCGTATAGCTTGATACTTTTCTGATGTTTTGTAGGTCACGCTTGGAGCAGGAACCGGTTAGTTGCCGGACTCTTACGGCTGGCGTCCACTGATACGTTTGCCTACCCTTTATTGATTTATTTGGTCTACGTTGCAGCTGGTGAGTACAGTGTGAATGAGTTGTCTTGGTTGTTTTTCGTGTGTTTACAAAGTCATGTGCGAATTACCTTCTCGCATATGAACAGGAGACTTTTATATTAGTCAGCTTTGCAAATGTGAGAGACAGGTAAAAATGACTACTTTTTATTGTTTCACAGCAATCAGCTTCAAATTTAGAAGCTCCCTTGAGATTTGGTACTATTAGATTTCCTGACAGCCACCAGATGAGATACAGAGTTCGAGGTCCTGTTTGGATAGTTCTTACATTTATAGCGAGTTATCAGTCGTCTGGAATCCTCTACTCGCCATACAGGCACAATCGAGCAGGACAATGAAGAAACCACTGTTTGGAGCCTTCTTCCTGGTAACCAAATAACGGAAATAGAATAGCACTTTGAAAACATATGTACTTGTGCAACCTCTGAAATTGCGAGGGAACTAAAAGACATCTGAAACCCAGGTCGCAGCATAAAA